TCCTAGAGACAAGATATCAATGGTTAGATGGCCAATTTGTTTCCCGAGTGATTTTTTTGGTCAACGATGTGGTCTGAATAGGATATGCTTTAATGGACCAGAAAGTGTTAGACCTGTCTGGGCCACCCACTTTCTTGCCTGTCTGGGCATTTGGTCCATTCCCTAGACCCGGTCTCCCCCAACCCCAAGATCAGGGGAGAAAGAGACCTGGTAAGGGAGGCATATCGTGTGAGCGGTAAGAAGATGTGAGTGTTTTATGCTGAACATCTAATTTTTGAATTTTTTGAGTTCCTGTCGTTCATTAAGACCTTTAAGAAATTTGGTGTCTAATTTTTTGATCCATTGCCATTCCGCCTTCCTTCTTTGTTGTTCTGTCCATAGGGGGTTATGTTCTATACCCCGTATCCGTATGTTTGATACTCTGTGTCTTAAAAAGTGTTTGATTAATGTTTGGTTCCTATTGTTTTTGAGGGATTTGCGGATATTGTATTTGTGTTGGTGTAGTCTACTCCTAATTGAATTCTTTGTTTGTCCTACGTATTGTAGTTTACACTTGTTGCAAGTTATTAAGTATACACAATTGGTATTATTGAGGGGTATTTTTGGAACGGGGAATGCCGTGACGTGCCCCGTTTTTCTTATTATCTTGGATCTGTGAACTAGCCGTGTAGGAGCTTTGGTGGGTAGTTTGCGCTTTACCAGGATGTCCCTAAGGTTGGGGTTCCTTTTATACGCCGCGATTATGGAAACATTTTGTTCTGTCCCGAAAGTTCTGGTGAAATTATTTTTGATTTTACGATGGAGGTTGACTGATAACGGTGTGTAGGTAAAGATAGCGGGGACTATAATTTCGTTCTCCGTGTCCTGTTGTTGAACAGGATCTGTTCGTTTCTGGGTATGTTTTTTATAAATTTTCTTAAGTTTTGTTTTGGAGTAACCCCTTTGTTTGAGTGCCCTAAATAATATTTTCTTGGTTTCTTCGAAATCCTCTTCCCTAGAGCAAATTCTAGAGAATCTAGTGAGTTGTGCACGTACTATGCCCTCGAAGGTATGTTTGGGGTGGAAACTTATGATGCAATAGGGAGTGTGTGTCCGTTTCCTTGAAGTAGACCTTTGTGTCCAATATGTGAGTGATGTCAAAGTTTGGGCCTTTAAAGACAGTGGTGTCTAGGAAGTTTACCGCGGTGCTGTTAATGGTAGCTTTGACCTTAATTAGATTATGATGTTTATTCAAGGTGTCGATGAACTCTTGGAAGCTGTCTACCCCGTGTTCCCAAGTACCCCATATATCATCTAGATAACGAAAATAGGTAGTTGGTTTTTAGGTGCATTTTGGAAGAAAAATGCCAATTGGCCAGAAAAATGCCAATTGGTCTCCTCCCAATTGGCCATATAAATGTCGGCGTAAGACGGTGCGAATTTTTTGCCCATTGCTGTGCCGTTAATTTGGAGAAAGTTTTGTCCCGCAAATTCAAAATCGTTACGAGTTAGACTAATTTCTAATAATTCCAGAATCGTTTCATCTGGTCTGGTGGGGTCCTGAAACTTTTCGAAGGCTTCCCTGACAGCTTTAAGTCCATCCATTGTGAATAGGATGACGTCGGTTTGGAGCGTCGTTGTTCTGATTTTGTTCAGGAAGTCGTATGTGTCTCTAATGTAGCTATTGTGTTTGGTGGAGATGGGTTTTAGATAGTGATCAATGTACTCTGCTATTCTATATGATTCGCTACCGCAGTCAGAGACTATGGGGCGCCCTGGGGGCATGTATGAGGTTGGCCAATCTGTTTTGGGTTTGTGGATTTTTGGTAGGAGGTAAAACCTCCTAGGTCTTGGATTGTGCTCTCCTAGTAGGAAAGTCATTTGTTTGGGTTCTAGAAATCCCTCCCTAACCGTTCTTCCTAATATGTCCTTGATTTTGGGGATAGTCTCTGGATAAATTTTTTGGTAATATTTATTGCCCCCCAATTGGCGTAGGGCCTGTTGTATGTATTGGGATTTATCCATAATAACTACCGCATTTCCCTTGTCTGCTGGTTTAATGATTAAGTCCAACCTCTGTGCTAGTGAGTTGAGGGCTTCTATTTCCCCGGGAGATAAATTTGGCTCTGGTGTTTGTGGTTTGGAGGCAAGTTCCTTTAGCTGTTTTTCGTTTTCAATAAAGAAATCCCATATTTGGTTCAGTAATTGTTGGGGTGGTGGTCTCCAATTGGATCATTCTGTAAAGGGGATCGCCCTTTTTGGGTCCTTACTAACTCCGAAAAAGAGTGTTTTCTCAATTTTTTGATGGACGTTGTTTAATTCCCCACTTAATTAATTAATAATAAACGCATTCCGTTACCCCTGCCGACCATGGCTCATGACGCACTTCATGAACTGCCTTAAAGGGATAGTTCACTTTGAAATTAATTTTTGATATGTTTTAGCTTACCTCAAGGGCATCCAAGATGTAGGTGTCTTTGTTTCCACAGCATTTTCAATTTTGACATTTTTTGGTCAAACCGTTGTTGTCTGTCAGTCATACACTGGATACACTCAATCGGTTCACCTCAAAGAGCATGCACAGAGAAGTCAAAATTAAACATGATTTAATGACTCGTACATGTAAGTACACATTGATGGCCTAAGACACGAAACGAGTGGTTTGTGTGAGAAAACGAACAGTATTTATATCGTTTTACCTCTTGTAATCATAGCCATGACAAAATGATCTGACGGCACCGGCGCTTCGGTCTGCGGATGCGCTGGAAGTGATCGCTTGCGAAGAATATACACTTCTTCTCTTGTAGAGACTGGAGAGGGTAGTTGCGTCTTTCTGCAATTCACAAGCGTTTTGGAGGAATTATGAAATATAATATAATAAATAATATTGGGGCTGTTCTAAGTCAAATTAACAAAACTAAAATAATTGTTAACAAATAACTCACTTTGCTGCCTGGTTTGGCTTACTGCTGGCACTCTGTCGGTGTTGAAGCTGCTTTGATTGCTGGAAAGGTCTAACGCGTGAAACAAAGAAATACCAATCAAAACTGATATTTATATACAAATAAAAAAATTATTTTGTTACGCCTGTCATGATTTGCATATCGTTTATCCCCATAGAAATACATATTATTTGATTTAAGACAATAATGTTCTCCCACTCCGTGTTATATTCCTCTGGTTGAGTCACTTCACTCTCTAAGCTGCCAGGGATGCCAGGACAGGTGAGTCCGCCCCAAGGATGTGGACCAGTTTAGTCGTCTCTGACAATTCTGTTGGCTGTGGTCCTCCACCTTAGTGACAGTTTTGTTATCGTTAGCTCTCGGTGCGTATGAAGAAACGAGAAAAAACTAAGAGCGTTTTTTTTTTTTCTTTTTCTTACCGGTTTTGTTGGACTCCGTCTTATGAATGCTTGCTTATTTATTTTTTTGCCCCCACAGAGATGTTTTTATATTTTTTTATTACCTTTGAAACTGTCCTCTTTACTCCTAAGTTCCGTGCGTTAATTTTCTCGGTTATTTCCTCCCACTGTTTATTTTTTGCCAGCAGTTATGACGGGATTAAATTTGCTTCTAAAATTCCTTTTTATTTTCCCATATTCATCTAGAAGAATACACTTCTAATCATTTGTCCAATTTGGCTTTCTTTTTTTTGTTTTCTTTATCTATTTCTTTAGGCTATTCGTTAATTTGTATAACGGCGTATCTATGGCAACGATAGATTTTTTTAACGGCAAACCTGGATCGCTGCCGTGAAACACATAACGGTTTTCCTTACCTAAGAGAACTCTTTAAGGGATTATATGCAACACCCTTAAATCATTCCCTTAGTTAAGAAATGATAATGATAAGGGAATGATAAGTCCCACACTTAAGGGAAAAACTATGGTGCTTTATGCAAGCGGGCACTTGTCCTGGGAGTGTGTTTCTTCCTGTGGTGGATAGAAGAGGTCATCATCTTCTTCCGGTACACACTCCCTGTGTTCATCTAAGGCCCCTTCATCCTCTCAACTTTCCACAGATTGTAGTTGTTTGGCCTTCCTTTCCCTCCCTGTTTTATCTTTCTATCCTTTCCTCTCTGGTCCTTGCTCCTCCTCTCTTTTCTCTCTTTCTGTCTCCTCTCATTTCCTCTGCATTACTTTCTCTTCACCTGTTCTCTCACTTCCTGTCTCCTCTCTCATCCTTCCTCCTCCTCTCACTTCCTCTCTCTTTCCTTCTTCCTCTCTCCTCTTCTCTCGCCTCCTTCTTGTTTGCCATACTCGCTGTAAATAAAATATCTACTACCATTATTACAGTTGAGGGAGTCATGGTGAGCTTGTGTCCAGCCACCCACCCACCCACACACACACACACACACACACACACACACACACTCACTCAAACACATGTGTGTGTGTGTGTGTGTTTGTGAGTGGCAGAGATATTGGCCCATTTTAGCTGAAATCATGTGGCCCAATTTACCTCAGTGAGCTAAGGTAAATTGGGCCGCTAAGAAAAACAGCTTTTTCAAAAAATATGTTCATATATCAAACTAACAACATTATATATATATATATATATATATATATATATATATATATATATTGATTTGGTATGCCAGGCTATATATATAATCTTTATAATAGTGTATTTAGATTTGGTATGCGAGGCTATTGACCATGCAGCTTTCTGGTGTAGTCTTGATTCGAATCATTCCTCCGCAACCAAACCAATCAAATCACCTGCTAATTGTCAAGCAGTTATGACAACAGTTTGAAGTCCTTTGCAGTCATTGGCTCTAAATTCCAGTGGTGCTGGGACCCCCAAACCTAAATGGCCCATTTTACTTGATATCACCCTAAGTACAATATACAATAATAATATAATTATAATATCCAGAAATCAATTCCAATTGTACATTGGGATTAATTTGTTTTTGTTGGTGATAACTACTAGCATTGTTAGTGTCCTCTGACACATTTTTTTTTCATGCTTGAAGTTTCTTTGCCCCTTTGTGATTTAGCGTGTGAACGGGACTTTTATTTTGGTATGTTGATGTGACGTCACAATGCTGCGCCGCGCTGCTGCACTTTTGTGATTCGGCTGAAGAAAGGTTTGTGTTTTAAAACATTTAAAGTATTCCGTCAGTGCAAACATTTGCGGGAATTGTACATGGGTTTTACAGTTCTTGTAAAAAACTTTGAAAAAAAGTTTTTTTTTTATATCCTTGAAATTACGTGTACTATTAAAACGCATCTATACTCGAGTAAAAACAGTAAAATATGCGTCTCATTTAGCTTCCTATATCGTGAATGAGGTTATTATCAGTCAATTATTAGCGAGTGAATTATTAAGAGTGCAATAGGTTGCTAATGTGATGATTAATTCTACCGCCTTATTCAATTACGTGTTTATTTAATTACTCCGGCCATATTTAGGCTGCCCTCCACGTGCACGCGCACGTCGTCATTTGCTTGGTGCGACAAAATGAATTTAAAACGTTTTGTTTGCCTTTTATTTTCATTTTATTGATTGAATGTAGTTATTGCACCCTTGTGTGGATTTACATTGTTTATTAAATGTTTTGATACTGATTTGTGTCGTATTTTTTAGATTTAATTTATTAAGACGATTAAATAAATAGATTTCAGCACTGTTTGCTTTTTGTAATCAAATATCTTCCACCCAAGTCACAACATGACAACAGCAAACGTTTAAAATCATTTAATAGGCTAATAAACTTAATTGCATAGTAATGTTAGTAATATCATTAAATGTGAAAAGTCTGTTATATAGGCCTATATACATTAACATTTTGATTCATTAAATTGATCATAAATGTCAGCAATATTCTTAAAAAAAATCAAATAATCATGGATACATTCAAATGTATCACAATTTCCCACAAGTAAGCAGCACAACTGTTTATTTTTATTTTATTTTTATCATTAGTTGTAATAATAACTTGTCGCATTAGAATAATTTCTGAAGGATTATTATGAGACACTGAAGACTGGATAATATAAGAATAAAGTGAGTAATTGAAACCTGAGGAAAATGGCATCGTCTGTTAAAGAATAGTTAAAAAAAATTAAGCTTTGCCAACTGAATGAAGATTTTATAGTTTAATGGCCCTGAGATTAAAAATTGCAGTTTAATGGTTTTTTCAATGGGAACATTAGTGTCCTTTAGCTCCTGATTGTTACTATTTTGTGTTACAACAAGTGTAAAATAGCGCAGTTTTCTTAACGCTTTCTTGAACGTTCACTGTCGTTGTGATATAAAATATGTCTGGGAAAAGATTGTTTATTTAAAGCTTTTAGAGTAAACAGTGCAGAACTACTTTATTTTTCTTCTTTCATTTGTCATATTTTAATTGAATTTCGATTGAATTAAATTTCACAGAAGGTAAGGCAATAACTACATGAAATCAATCAATTAAATGAAAGGCCAAGCCAAAAATTATTCAGACACCTTGCTATATCCTCACTTAGATTAATGATTTAGTGTCCTGAACCCACTAGTAAAAAAATATTGATAATTTTTAATTTGACTGTATTACAAAATGTAGTACATTATTTTACCCGCAGCGATGTCATTAAATGACGTAAACGCTTGTGCACACAGAGGGCAGTCGAAATTCGGCGCAACGCCGGTGAATGAACCTCAAACCACAGTCTGTCATTCACTACAGGCGGGGAAAGTAAAAACTGAGCGAGTTTCAACTGATCTGAAGGCACGGGTCTGCGCATGCGCCGGAAGACATTCTCAAAACCTCAAGTTTCTAATCTTTTGAAGCGTGTCTTTAACTAAGAGAATAATTACAAACACTGGATATTAAACTCACACAAACGCTGCTTTTTATCATTAGCGTTGCATGTGTGTTTTTGTGAATGTAAACTAACACCGAAAGGCACAGGGCAAGATCGAGTCTCACATGGGACAATATCGATTGGTGAATTAAATTACGCCCCACAAATTACACCTTTAAATATATATATATATATATATATATAGCATCTACACCACATATAAATTTGCATGTACGTACAGTATATAAAGTCTTTACACCGTGTACCTGATGCCGGAAGCACGACGTGACAAATCCCAGACAGTAAACTGATTCCTCGTTCTATTTATGACCAAGCACTCGCAATACAAGCACTTTGCTTGCAACAGTCGCTTGGTCACATCCAGTGTAGACAGCTTCTCGCTGTTGTGGCACGGCATGACCACAGTGTAGAAACGCTGTTAGTGGAGAAAAAAGAAAGAATTAAAAATAACTATTCTTTCAATTCCAGGACCAGAAATCGAAATCTGAATCGAATCCAGAATCGAACAGCCCTACTAATTTCCACAAATTGAACAATATTCAAAGTAGAGGTCTTCTCGGGTCCTAAAAACTGTACCCGACCCGAATCACTACTTACCCGAACCCGACGTGCATAAATTATTTTTTTTAAAAGAAAGACCCGACCCGAGACAGACCCGAAAAGATTAGACCCGAGTCCGACCCGACCTGACGCCATTTCCTTTAAAACCCGACTGGACCCGAACGTAAACGGCATTCACAGTGAGCACAGCCTGCATTCGTTTTCCCTTTTTCGCAATATCTGTTATCGTCTCCATGCTTGTCTGACAGGATCGCGTATTTTTTAAATTGATTGACAGGCCTGGCTAAACGACAATTCAAATACTTGCATGCAGTCAAACACCCATCCACATGATGGCGCACTAGTTTTTCTTGGCAAACGGAGGGGTTGGTTAGTGAAGCGAGCAACTGAGTAAATAAATGCGGAGGCAACCGTGCTTATGCTTATAGCCCATTGCACGTAAAAGCGCGGATTCGCTCTCTCACTTAAAAAAAGTCAGAGAACGGTCATAGAGTTGTTTTAAATACTGCAATTTTGTTAAATGCCCAACATTGTTTAAAATAATTTGGGTCCCGAGGCCACTAATAACGAACCCGACCTGTGTCCGAGACACTCATCGGATTTTTGGACCCGAACCCGCTCGGGTCTCGGGTCGGACCTCGGGTTTTCGGATCCAAGTAGACCCGTGAAGACCTCTAATTCAAAGTGCAAAAAGAGACCACAACAGAGACCAGGGCCACAATGACACAGTCCAGAAAGACTGTATGTTTGATATTGGGAGACAGGCTATTGAATGCAGTCATATTTGTGCGCATCAGGGAGATTGATCGCACGTCTTCACTGTGTGCGACGGCAACTCGTGCTGGATGAGCAGAGAAGGCGTTTACAATAGTTTTTATTTTTAGAAAAACAGAAAAACTACAGTGGAGGCGGGGATGTGGTGGGCCCCGTATTGTGAATGTAGCGGTGGCATATTCTAATATCTCTAATTTCACTCTCACGCTCCGTCATAGTGATATCGCGACAAGAAATCTCGTGGCACGACCCCTACTACATATACAAATATTTAAGTATTTTTAGAGTGTAGTGAGTTTGACTTGATTACACAATTCGCAGTACTTCATGGGAGTGGGCGGAGTCATTTAACAACCTTGTAGCTCATAAGAAAGGCTGTCTTTAAATGGCGAAAAAATACTTCCAGAACACAACTGTTGCAATCTATTGTTATTAGTGTCACTATATATTTTTTAATGTGTTATGGAAGCAAAAGTACACGAGGGAGACACATTCCTGTGTAAACCTGGTGATTTAACCGATCTCTTGTCGGCTTTCAATCTAATGGACGAAATAAACTCAAGATATTTACATATGAACGCAAAAGAAAAACATGACAGCCGTGAGACCAGCCGAACGCTGTGAGTGTGTGTTAGAAATCAGGAATGATGAGAGAACATTGTGCTTGGTACAATATTTGTCTTCAAACCAAACTTAGGTCTTCAGCAGACAACGTTTAAATCCCGTCTAGTTCCCATAATGTTTGCGCTTTAGGTCAGTAGGCAGAGAGTTTGAATGCTTTAGACCAGGTGACTGTCGAAAGAAATCTGTACAAATGTGTGTCTTCCACTCTCTCTGGAAGTAGTCGAAAGTGGACAAGGCCCCGTTTACATCTCTATTTAGTGTCGTCCACTTGTGATCCGATCGACCAAAGCACATCTTAATACCAGGTGTAAACAGGGCCTCAAATAACAAACACTGGAAATACAACAAGCACGCAATTCTATTCTGATGTAGTTTGTAGTTTCTTTGGTGTCTTCAATCCTCACATGTGTGTTACAAGTGTCATTCATGCAGTGTCAAATTATTATCTTGATATAATTTATAACGCAAGTGTTACCGGTACCGGCCAAAAAAAAAAAAATGCATCCCTAGTTTTCACGAAAGTGTAATATTTTAAAAATAATCTGCAAATATTAAATACCAAAGAAATCATAACTAATGATGAAGTGTATACTTTTTGTTCATATCTTAATTTTGAGTGGAGGGAATAAAGATCATTAACTATTAAGGGTGTCACAATTTCGATCGAAATTAATTCACAATCGTCGATGCTGCCATGCCCCCATGTCACGTCCGTTCGGCTTGCCAAGTGGAAAAAACGCGCGTTGCGAGTCTATGGTCCACCTCCTCTAACCTAGCTACTATTATTCAAAAGAGAGCATGGAAATTGCAGGAGACCCATCGACAGAAGGGGAACCCCCTCCTCTTTCATTGAAGTCAACAGGTGTGGAAGTTTTTGGGATTTCCAATGAGTTATGTTGACAACGTTCGCGCTTCAAAAAAGCCACAGTTTGAAGACATCCTAAGTCTCGCGGAAGTTACGGGAGTCTCCCGCATATTGATAGCGGCTTCCTGATGCACGCAAATTAGTTAAAATCTCCCAGAATCTGGAGTGAGCGAGCAAGAGCGCACGTGCGAGACAGAAAAAACTGCTCCAAACCGTATTGCGCGCACGGCAGAGAGGGAGAGAGCGAGAGACCTTGAGTGTGTGCCTCATGAAGCGCATGTAAGACAGAGAGCATCCTGATTGGCCAATTGATAAAAATCGAGAATCGAATTGAACCATGACCTTAGAATCGAAAATGTAATCGAATTGAGGATTTGGAGAATCCTGACACCCCATTAACTATCACTCTGAATCATCTCCCATCTCCATAGGGAGATGATTAACGCTCCCACAAAGATACAGTTTGGATGTGTTTTTCTTTCTGTTAATTATTCTCTTCTTAAACAGGAAAACTCCTGGTGAGATCCACATGACACACTATTATGAAGATGGCGTTTATTAAAAAGGAGAGTGAAGACATACAGATTGAAGAAACATTGACATTGAAAACTGAATATACTGAGGAACAAACAAAGATGATGTTTATTAAAGAGGAGATCGAAGACAAAAGGATTGAAGAAAGATTCAGAGTGAAACATGAAAATACTGATGAACAATCAAAGATGGCGTTTATTAAAGTGGAGAGTGAAGACACAAAGATTGAAGACACATTCAGAGTGAAACATGAATATACTGAAGAACAAACAAAGATGGTGTTTATTAAAGAGGAGATCGAAGACGTGAAGATTGAAGAAACATTGACAGAGAAACATGAAGATACTAAGGAACACACAGGTTGGTTTCATTCTCAAACTAAATTCAGTCATATGATCCTTATTATAATATCCAGCTCTACAGAAAAGAATGATAGTTTTGAAGAGAGCAGGACTCCAGACTGCGGCCAATAGCCTCTATGCACGATCTCTTCCGGGTTCGTCTCAGCACGCCCAGTTACATCCGGTGCCGCGTCAGTCTATGGTCAGAAGCTGGTTTTGCGTTAAGTGGATATAGTGTCAAATTACACTTGCTGTTTATAAAAACGTCCTGCGTTTAACGTTGATGATGTTAACAACACTGTGAGGCAGTTAGCTGTCACACAAGAGTAAAAAAGAAAAGTTATTTAAATTATATATTTCGAGCTACATCAACAACTTTAAGGGTTAGTATTCTCTCATATCGTACGAAATTCGACTAGTGAATCGGCGTTTCTAAAATCGCTGTCTCCAATTCTGAGAAAACGGGTTTTATTAAAGTTTTGCCGCTATACACTTGGCCTGCAGAACGCGCTTCCGGAAGTAAAGCCGCTGACTGAGATTCTTTCGGACACACGTCAGCAGGGTTCGTGCATAGAGCCTATAGGTTGACTTTTGCTTACTTTTTTCTTTGCGGTGCGACTAATTTTGTTAGCCATTTCTAATGCCAACAGCACATTGGCCAACTGATAAGAGCTGCCTTTTATGTTGCATGTGAGAAACATCAAACGCCAAACAAAACGAAAGTGAAACAAAACTAAACTACTTGTTTGAGCTCAGAACAAGCTCTACTCTACTAATGTAGCAATGCTAACTAACCATGATACTGTGGCCGAATATTTTTTTTTACGTTGTTCATCCGCAGAAGTCAGTCTGAGCATTGTTTCTAACCATGTCCATCCCTTTATGGCCACCATGTCCCCATCCTCTGATGGCTACTCCCAGCAGGATAATGCACCATGTCACAAAGCTCGAATCATTTCAAATTGGTTTCTTGAACATGACAATGAGTTCGCTGTACTAAAATGGCCGCCACAGTCACCAGATCTCAACCCAATAGAGCATCTTTGGGATGTGGTGGAACGGGAGCTTCGTGTCCTGGATGTGCATCCCACAAATCTCCATCAACTGCAAGATGCTATCCTATCAATATGGGCCAACATTTCTAAAGAATGCTTTCAGCACCTTGTTGAATCAGTGACATGTAGAATTAAGGCAGTTCTGAAGGCAAAAACACAGTATTAGTATGGTGTTCCTAATAATCCTTTAGGTGAGTGTATATTATTCATATGACACACCTAAACACAAGTAGACAAAACCTGTTTAGTTCAAAAGCTCACTCGCCACGGCAAGGCACAGATCATGAGTGAGATGATGATACGAGCAGCGCCGCCAGATCTGCCTTGCGTGCGCACTGAGTGTGCACAGCTCGGACTACTGTCATTGCCATTGCGACTCCCCGCCCTGCCTCCACGTTACCCCCTAACTGTCCTATGAATACTTCGACCTTGTCTAACATACTCAGTGGCATTAGACAAAGTCTCCACCACAATACTGTCGCTACAATTGCGGAGAGGCTCTGATAAAATGGTTCACTCACACACTAGCTCCACTTTTGATCGTAATGTTTCAATGCGCTCTAACTCGAACATTTTGTATAGAAGCATGACTTTGAGTCGGGATGAAGTATGACGTCTGCCATCTAAATTTGACACCCAATTTGAAAAAATCGTCCATTTTATTCAGTGCCGCATAAGCTTGACCGTGACGCGTAGAGGGTTAATCACTTGCGGTCTTACTACGAGTCGCACTTTTGTGATGTAACACCACTTTGACTGTCGGGAAGAAGTCTGCTGCGGAGCTCGCTTCAGTGCAGGTTTGCAAAAGTGAGGATCGAGGGAGCGTATCGACTGCAAAGGAGGCACTCGCGAACACCCTTCTGAAACCAAAAATGACAAATGAGACACAATTCAGTCTCATGGACTTAGCGGAAATGTGCACACGGCAGTAATTGTAAATCTAAGAGAATGAAAGCACATAGAAAGTGTGCTATTTCGGACAGGACCATAGTCGTCCACACAAGTGCCAGTCTTCAACCAGACTGATCTCATGAAATTGCGTGTGTATGACACGCCAATTTATATTTCCATTTCTGGCATGCTATCAACATCCATAATCACTTTTCAGCGTGTTTATCTATGCCGTTGACTTAACGTTATTACTTTATATATAAATATATGACTTACCCCAACCCCGTCCCTAAACCTACACGTCACTGGGGTTAATAGCATTTATGAGTCCTCCCCTACCATCCTAGGAAAAAAAATATCGCTCCCCAGATGTAGATCTACATTTTGCTTCGTTTTGCTCGGACATTTAATGGCGTGTACATACACGTGGAATCACTAGTACATTAATGGCGTAAACATAAACGCATACACGCGGATAGCTGAAAATGTGAATAGATAACACTCCACTTGATTTGAAAGTGGTGTGTATGTTTACGCAAAAGTCATGATGTCATGTTGCTTCAACAATGAAACTCAATTTTGGCTCTTCATTTACACCACAATGACATTTTGGGGGCCTAAAAAAACTGGATTCAAAGTGCAAGTTTTTGAAAAGATACCATTATCATCTTTGTCATCGTAGAAGTTGTTCATGTGTATTATATGTTCAGTCTAGAGGTGTGTACTTCTCTACTTCTCCATGGATGTCAATACCACCACAAATTCCATCTGAAGCACTCCTGCCAAGTATTGACAAAGCCTTTTCTTCTTCTGCTGTGAGAAGGGAGGACTCATTGGTCCCACCTCCTGTTTTTTTTATTGCAGTCCTCTACAGTGCTCTCTTCCGTTTTGCCAGGCTTGCAAAACCCTGTCACTTCTTGCAGATACCCTTCCCTGATTTTTCAACACTCCTTGTTGGTTATAATTTTGATGTTCTTATTTGTATGGTGTCCTTCAAATCTGTTGAAAATAACATCTTTGTTTCGCATCTTTAATCTCCTCTTACAGGACAGTAATTTAATCTTTTTGAAAGGTATATTTTCTTTTCTTTTCGTTCAACCATTTTGTCAGTGTCTCCGCTTGTAGGTAGGTTCTTTATATATACTTGTCTTGCAATTGCAAGACTGATCTCATGAAATGGCGTTTGTATGACACGCCTATTTGTATTTCCATTTTTGGTGTGCTATCAACACGCATAATCGCTTTTCAGCGAGTTTATGAACGCCGTTTACTGTATATATATATAAATGACCTACCCCAACCCCGTCCCTAAACCTACCCGTCACTGGGGTTAATAGCATTTATGAGTCTTCCCCTACCATCCTAGGAAAAAAATATCGCTCCCCAGATGTAGATCTACATTTTGCTTTGTTTCGCTCGGAAATTTAACGGCGTGTACATACACGCAGCATACACGTGGATAGCTCAAAACGTGTATAGATATCACGCCACTTGACTTGAAAGTGGCATGTATGTTTACGCAAAAGTCATGATGTCATGTTATGATTGCTAATCCACATCCGATGACGGTTATTAGGTTAAACGTTAAGGATACAATTCCATATAAAGTTTTATTTCAGCACTTCGCAAATGGACAGCGACACCTTAAGAAGTGCATTATTATACTATGTGCATTTTTGGGAAATGTGCGTGATATCACGGTGAGCATTCGTAACCTTGCGATTTGTAACTGAGCTAAGATAAATCGTTAGCTAGAAACCCAGCCCAGGTGTGTCCAAACTCGGCCCTGGAGCTCCAACCCTGAAAAAAATAACCTGAACTGCCTATATCCTCGGTAATCCTGAAGACACTGATGAGCTTGTTCAGATCTGTTTGAATAGGGTTGGAGCTAAACTCTTCAGGAAAGCGTCTCTCTCGGACTGAACTTGCCTACCACTGGGTTAGATTGTTCAGTTGTGTTTGATTAGGGATTGATCTAGACCAGGGTTGTCCAAAATCTGCAGAGTTAAGCTCCATCTTGTTTCTAGTATGCCTAATAGACCAACTTTGTGTTTGTAAACAGAGATGACGTTTTTTGTGGGCGGGGCCGAACGTGACAGCTCTGTAGTCGCGGTACGAGGTTTTAAAGGTAAAATCAAATTCAAACCATAAGAATATGGATCATCTGGATTATTTTCAAATTATTTTAATGGTTTACCAGTAGAAGATCGACTGTCTTACATTAATAAGCTAACGCTTAGCAACGGGGTGAGGTTTCCTGTGGCCGGACAAACGCCGCGTCTCTGCACTAAAGAAAAACTAAAGGCATACAAGTTTCTTGACTCATACAGCTTTGTACTTTGCGATCATGTGCAGGATATCGAATATCAAGAGTTGTCTCATGACTTGTGTATTACGGGCCGACATTTTGCCAAGGCAGTGCCAAGGACACAAAACTCATTTATACAAAATGTGGGCTATTATTAAGAAATCAAACAACTGCATACTGACGGCGATCTGCAATTGTATGGCTGGGTACGTATCAACTCCTTTTCATTATTTAATGTATGTTAGAACGATGTAAATCACCAGAAACTACTGCTGCTAGGCTACTAACTAGGTGGACGTAAATGTTATAATAGTTCATGCTGTAGGATAATGATTTTCCCTCTATAAATTGCATATGTGAATAAGTTAAGCATTATTAATTTAAGTTGTAAGGTAGTATCTAGATCTATTGTTTACATCAAATTCATGCTATAATGTAGGCTAATCATGACAGGTTAGGGTCGCAGCCATGAATCTGCACTGCTTTTTAAGGTTGAGTTGTATGTCAGACAGCAGCCCTGAGTCAGATCAATTTCAGAAAACCAAAGAGAAGAGACAGACAGCTTAAAGATATTCCTGAGAAAAGTGGCCAGCTTACTGTGAAAGGCATGAACATCAGTTGATTTCAGTGTTATCAAGTCATATTTATCATTAAGGCGAGACACTGCAGGTGAATAGGATGAAAATTTTAAGTTACAGATGTCTCAATGAAACTTTACCTGTTGATTACTCGCATAAATAGGATAAAAAATTTATTGCAAGTTTT